TTTTTTCGCTGAACCCTGCTGTCTATATAGGCCCTTCATGGCTACCTGAGCAGGCCCCACAGCTGGCCGCTAAGTGGGGCTTGGGCCCAGGAGCCACAGCCGAAGCCAAGCCCCTCAGGGCTTATGAACGTTCAGGACCTCATCACCAAGACAGGTGACCTCGTGGAGGGGCTAGGTGGCCTCACAGACCCCGCTTCCAGCATCCAGCCTGGAGTGTCCCAGCAAGGCCTGGAGTGAGAGGAGGCAGGTGGACCCCAACCTCTGTCCCACCCCAGCAGCCCCCTCCCACAAGGCCAGTACTCAATGGGTGGGTGGGGGGCTTTGCAACAGCCCGACCACTTTCCTTCCCCTCCCCTTGCCAGTCCTGAATGTCGACAGAGACCGACCGGTTGGTACTTTTGTCTGGCTGTGCGGGTGGGATGAAGCAGGGCCAGCTCTCATCAGGACCCTGGCCCTGGCAGGGTTGCCCCGTCCCAGCCCCTGTCCCCCCCTGGGGAGGCACCATGCTTCTAGATGGTGGTTTGGCCTGTGCTTGATAAGTGGCCGCCAGGTCTCAGCACAAGAGCGCTTCCTTTGCACAGAATGAGCTTTGAGCTTTGTTCAGACTCAATGAATGTATTGGGGGGGGGGGAGAGCGTTGGTTCTGAGCACACGCCTCTGCGGAGTGGGTGTGCGCCGGGGAGCGTTAGAGCGGAGGCAGAGCGCGGTTTTATTTTTGTACTGATATTGGTAAGAGTCTATAGCATCTATTTATTTAGATGATTTATCTGGTAAACGAGGCAAAAAAAAAAGTTGAAAATACATTAAAGATGATTTAAAAATAAACCCCGTGGTGTTGATGGATCCTTCCTGGTGACGCGGCAGCAGCCGGGATGAGTGCCCAGCCCTGCCCAAGAGTGACTGGGATGCTGGGCAAGCCATTCGGTTTGGGAGCCCTCCCAGGGTACCAAAGGACGAACTCGGGCGACAGATGGGAAAGTGACTTGGGAAACTGGAGAGAGCTGACGGGTGGCTGCCCATCCTGCTTGTCCTGAAGGACATCGCAAGCCAGGCAGGGTTTCTGATAGCTTCTGCAGCCGATTCTAGAACCCATGCTAGTTAACCTCCCCAGCAGACTGACTCATGGTGGCCCTATACAGGGTTTCAGAGACTGGAAAACTTTGAAGAGACAGACTGCTTTGAACTGCCAACCTGGAGGTCAGCCGCTTATCCCAAGGGGGCTCCTCAAGTCTCCACAAGTCCAGGTGTTGGAAGCCAGGACTGCCCTGGGGCGCCATCTCGTGGACTATTCCGAGCTCAGCACACCTGTCGAAATCTCTAGAGTGGAAGTCAGGGCAAGGGACCGAGAGGCAGGAGATGTCTGCAAACACCTTTGCATTCGAAGGCCCTCTCTGTATATGGCATAGGGTCTGCATGGGAGGAGCAGGTGGGGGAGGGAGTAGGGAAAGAGGAGGTTGTGGTGGCCGTTCAGGTAGTGGCCACACGGTAGAAGTGCTGTAAAAGGGAGACAAGTGGATGGATGGCAGATACACCTAAGAGGTAGAATTGCCAAGACAAGTGCCCATCCCCAGAAGATGGGAGGTGGGAGTAGTGACCATCGACTGCTGTCCTCCATTGGTTGAGGGTTGCCCCTGAGGGTACGAACTCCCAACTTCCAAGGTTTGCATGTGCCAACTCTCCCCTGTCTGTTGCCCCCATCTGCTGTACTGGGAGAGTCTGGAGTCAAGAGTGAAGGCTTGTGGCCAGTTGAATCCCACGTGGGTGGGCTGTCCACCCGTCCACAGGTGGTATCAGAATGTGAATTAGGTCAACGGGTATCTCATACAGTCACCCTTGCACCAGCTGCCATTTCTAGGATAGACGTTGATTTCTGGCAAGACAGTGGACTAGGCAGACACTGCCCAAACTCCAAAACAAAGCACAAGGAGCCAAAATGAAATTGATGCCGGTGATAATTCTGGAGCCCTGAGCTGCAGAGGAAAGACTGGAGCAGTGGATTGAATACCAACTGTGAAAAGAAGCTGACCAAAACGGGCACGGAAGACGGCAGGCAGAACAGGAGAACTCTCAGCCAGTCTCACACGGTGCAGTCACCTTGAACTTCGCAAGCAACAACACAAACACCCACACTGGGGGCTGGTAATCAGAATGGCCAGTACTCAATGGGTGGGTGGGGGGCTTTGCTCTCCTTGCTCCCCACACCTTCCTGGTGAACAGACACATCGCAAGCCTCACTCTCATCCACCCCGAGGCTGGTGACAACCCCAGCCCACCCCATGCTCCGCTTGAAGTTGGCGCCTTGCCTTGGTGGATCACGTCTAGGTCTGGAGAGGCGTGACCTCTGTCTCATCAGACCAGCAGAACCTGCAGCCGGTGCACAAGCGGACTGTCCCCCTAGGTGGGCAAAACTCCTTTCATAACAGCTGCCTTTTCCTCAGCAGACCTCTGGCCCAAAAGAACTTTCAGGAACAAGTACCTTGACCTCAGCCACCTTCTGAGCAGACATGAATTACTCCTGAATCAGATGCCCTTTCCCCAGAATCTTTTAGACCAGCTGGGACTCCATCCAATCCCATTATCCCTCCCTGCTTTGTCCCCTTTCTGCATCAGTTCCTTAGATGGCAGGGACATTGACCTGTACTTGATGCCCCTGCCCCCATAGTTTTCTCCTTTCTGGATCCTGCTCCTACCACCACCACCCCCCGCCCACTGCCCCACAACCCTGTCCCCCTCCATGCACCCCCCCCATTCTCTCCGCCACCCAGTGGTCTCCTTCCTTTGATTTTTCTTTCCCCTCACATGTTTCTGGTCCTTTCTGTGCTTTCCACTTTTAAATGTTTGTTTGTTGATTTCTCCTTTCCCCGGCTACCTTCCTTCTGGTTTCTCTTAGTTATTTCTTTACCATTCTTTCTTTCCCACTTCCCTAGTTTTGTTTGTTGTGTTTGTCTTTTCTACACATTGTTTTTCTCTGACTTTTTAAATTCCTTTGCATTTTAATTCTTATGTTTGATCACAGGCTTTCAGCTGGTTGTTTTTTAATTTCTTGTGTATTAATTATTTTGGGGGGGTTTCTCTAATTAGAATCCCACCCAATGGGAGGCAGCAATGGTGTCCACACAACCCAGCCACACATACCTCCTGAAGCCCCCCCACCCC